CCGACCCAGGCTGGAGACGCCGGGGGGGCCAGACTGGGCCGTGCCTCCTCCCCCCAACCCCGTTTACCTGCTTCAGGCTTCCCGCGAATCAAATGTTCGCGGGAAGCAGGGGAGGGGGCGGAATTGGGGTGGGGACTTTGGGGAAGGGGTGGAGTTGGGGTGTGGGCGGGGCTGGGGGCCGGGCCGGGGCCCCGTGGAGTGTCCTCCTTTTGGACACTCAAAAGATGGTAACCCTAGCTAAATGAGCTAACTAGAGATGCCTGGTGCTGGGAGGCAACCAGAAGCAGCTAGTTCCTTATAAAAGAGAGCCGAAGCCGTTGTTTGAGGAAGTTGACCCTGGGAAGTCTACAGGGGAGTCAGATCTGAGCAGGACAGCTGCAAGCCAAACCCCCAGGTGGGTCACCCCTTGAGAACTCACAAAAAAGAAAAAGGACTAGATGAAGGAGCCTTTTCACTCACCCAGGCTCTGAGGTAAGAGCCACGCCTTGGACAGGTTATTTGCGGGACTTTGAGTATTACTTTTGAGTTATTGCCTGAATAAACCCAGACCCCTATAAAGGTAGCAATTGGATGAACAAGCATGTGGAGTCTCTGTAAAAGGGCTTGGAAGAAGGAAGAATAATGGGCAGAGCAGAAGCACCCCCCACACAAGGGGACACATGGGGGCAGCCTATTCTTCCACAGAGAATTTAGTTGCCAAAGTCTAACCAGTCTCTACTGAGTGTGTGCAAAATGAGATTTTTTTTTTTAGAGGTTTATAACTTGACCAAATTTGGGTGGATTTTCACAAGGACAACAAAAGCCCCATCTCTGTTAGCAAGGCAACCCCCCTGCCAAATTTCAAGTTACTAATACACAGCATAGAGGTACTACAACTTTTCAGCTACATGGCTGTAACAATTTTTGTAACATGGGCAAAACAACATATTTTCCCCTGAACATGTTCTATGAAATGACTTAACCTGAGGCAGACATCCAGCACGGAAAACTTCAGCTCATATGGTTAAAGTTTGGCAAAGTGATAAAGCAACTAAAGCCAGGATCTTATAACGGGAAGTGTTGGGTAACCTTAACGGTAGACATCACTATCTGTGCTGTTTACCCCCCCGCCATCCCTCATATACACACACACTCTGCAGTTTGTATACCATGTGCAGGAATCAAACTAAACAAATGAAAACAGTCTAGACGAAAGGGTAACTTTTAATAACTGGTATTAAAGTGGATGCTTGTTCATCATTTTTACCCCCCTTCCACATGTATGTCTAGTGAAGCATTCAGCTGAAAAATTCCACATGAGGTAATTGTACCCCCACTGCCAGCCCCTGGCTCCAGCAGAAACAACCTAGACAGGCCCTTGGGCTGTTCTCTATTCTTAAATCGTTCACCTTACATTTCTTCAGGATGCTCTTTTAGATTAGTACAGTGTAAGTAAGTACAATGTACCTCTGCTCTTGGGTGGGTGAAATGATTTGGAACCTATTTTCCTCTTGGCCTGAGTCAGCCAGTCTGTTCACGACTCCCTCCACTCAGACCCACTCTGGCTCATGTTATAAACTGAACCCCCGCCCCCCCCCAATGATTAGGAATCTTCAATGCAAAGTGAGTAGAGGAAGCAGGGGAGGGAACTGAGGGAGGCTGCAAGATAGGCAGTAGACCAGTCCAAAGGGAAATCATGACACAGCAGAGACCTGCTGAAAGTCAGCGCACCTGTGAATGTATATTATTTTATGAAATATTCATGTCAAAAGCCTGCACTGGATTATCATATTCTAGTTCTGCAGTTACTGGCTTGGAGAACAGGAAATGTATACAGCTAACAGGTCAGCTACTTATTGAGCCCCTCTCCAGCACAGGAAATGTGTCCTGGAAAACTTTATTTTAAGGACTTTCTTTCAAAAGGTACAAAGAGATATTTCTTTGCTACAATATTTGTAAGCATGCTCCTACAATACCCGGTAGGGCAGCCTATGAATAACTTGTCAGGGTTTGCAAGAGAGTTAATTTCATCATAAGCCAGCTACAGCATTCTGCAGTAATAACAGCTTTCATTTTGAACAATGCTTTCCTCTGGAAGTCTACCAAAGAGTTTGGCAAACGACTGTTTTACACATAGGAGATATTATACACGTATGTATGAGGATACAGGTGTGTTGTGTGTGTGTGGTGGTGGTGGGGAGATGGTGGTGTGATGTCGAATAAAGACTTCTCAGCCGGAGGATGGGAATGCCTGCAATTCAAGGCTGGGGGTCTCCTCTCTCATTTAGGGGAGGGACCTATTTTGACGGAGCAGCTAAGGAGGCCAAGGGAAGTGAACAGATTTCAGATGACGGAGGGGCGTACTTTGTTGTCAGCTGACCACCATATTTTAGCAATCTTGCCATGCCTGTTGATAGAGTGGCATCTGAGTGCTGTGTCCCTTGGCTTTGGCAGCCCAGAGCACTGTGGTTTACAGGTGATTTGGGATGGATGAGGTGAGAGGGAAAGCTGATTAGAGTGCAGGTGACGTAGGGCATCTCCTGATTTTCGGGGCTGGTTCTGGGCTCGCTGTTGGGTTCACACAATTTAGTCAACTTCTCTCGTTGGAGTTTCAGCAAGTTTCACTCGCCAAAAGTCTGGCAATGTTGGGGCACTTTGGGCTACCACATACACATTGACCCATGTCCCTCCTGCCTGGTAAAGGCCAGAGATAAGACACTCTTGTGATTTATATTACTTAGCCAAGAGCATGGCCCCATTGCCCTAAGTGCTGTTCGTACACATAGCAGAAACAGTCCTGCCCCATAGAGCTTACAACGTAAATAGACAGGACAGACAGAGGGTGGGAGAAAGGAAGTCCTATTATCCCCATTGCACAGATGGGGAACTGAGGCACAGAGAAATTGAGCGACTTCCCTGCGACCATACAGGGAGTCTACAGCAGCTCTCCCAAGTGCTAGCCCAGTTTTTCAGCCACAGAATCATCCTTTTTCTGTGCATATTAAAACCACCGGTTTTATTACAAATGTAGGGCATTGCTACTTGCAAGCCACCCCTACAAATCCTTCATTCGTTTTAAGGGCTGCCTATTTCACTGTAAACAGCTCAGAGAACATATCTAAGCTTTCTCCACACACATGCCTTCCTTACCAAGAAGCACTTGGAAGCGGGGCTGTAATTCTGTGTGGTAGGACAGATTGACACATTCCTGCACATTCTGTCCTACAGCACACCTAGCCCCCAATGTGTAACAGCATCACAATCTCAACGCCTTGCAACGCATTGCTAGGAAACATTTAAAACACAGGGCAACCAGTTTTAACTGTCTGGTAGTTTATTCTGTTTGAGAAAGGTTGATTTACAAAATTGTGGAATGGTTTTTGGTTCAGAGCCAAAGCTTCCCTTTTGGCAGATGCCCTTCTTAGCAGTGGGCTCTAGTGTGACACTTTGCCTAGCATCACTCATATGCCCCTTCTCTCCATTTTTTTCTTCTCTTCTTATGTTGAATTGACCCTTCTGGGAATTGCTCCTCGGTACTCGGCACTGGTGTAACCACTGCTGGAATAATGTATCCAGTTCTGGTGCACACAATTCAAGAAGGATGTGGATAAATTGGAGAGGGCTCAAAGAGCTACAAGAACGTTTAAAGGATTAGAAAACTTCCCTTATAGTGATAGTCTCAGAGAGTTCAATCTATTTAACTTAATAAAGAGACGGTTAAGGGTGACTTGATTATAGTCTCTAAGTATCTACATGGGGAACAAATATTTAATACTGATCTCTTCAGTCTAGCAGAGAAAGGTATAACATGATCCAACGTCTGGAAGTTGAAGCTAGGCAAATTCAGATTGGAAATAAGGTGTAAATTTTTGACCATGAGGGTACTAAACCTCTGACAATTTACCAAGGGTCGTGGTGGATTCTCCATCACTGATAATTTTTAAATCAAGACTAATGCTAATATTAGGGCCCTATCTTCATGTTTAAAAATAAAGCCAGATAAATTGGAAATTTTGGCCTGTATGCATATCTGTGACTAAAACACATTATTTGGCAGAGAGGACATCGTGTACAAAGGAGACAAGCATTCAAATCTTTACATTTCATCTCTATTTAATGCTAAGTCCAACAAGTTGTTAATTTCAACAAAATATTGTATTCATTTTTGCAGGGTGGGATTTTCAAAAGAGCTCAGTGTTGACCTAACTCTGCCCTTATTGAAGACGGGGGGGGGGGGGGAGGGGTTGTCCTGGATTTCAATGGGAGAAGAGTTAAGCCAATGTTGAGTGCTTTTGAAAATCTTTTCCATCGTCATAGATGCAATCTTGTGTTCTTATCACTGTCATTCATGTCTTCCCCTCCATTCCCATTCCTCCACATTGTTCTCTACCCACACTGACACAACTTGCCCCAACTGACTTCAAAAGGCTTTGGATCAGGCCCTGAATTGGTAACACAGATAAATCCATTTGAAAGTGTAGTCAGTTACACCTGGGCAAAGCGAGTGTATAACGCTACTAGTGTGATTCAGCAGCATTTCATACCCATGCAGCACTCGCTTGACAGAGATGTAAATCACTGCGCAGAGATTTTTATCTGGTCAACGTCCCTTGTCACATTCTAACTGAAACAACCCGACAATTGCATCAGCAAGAGGAATCCGTTTCCTGTGCTAACGTTAGTGATTGTGGAACGTGCTTTTTTATAAAAATGGAACACTTAAAAAATCCAAATTTATAATATACCCTATAATCAATCTCCCCAAGAGATCATGTTGGGTGCTCGTGACAGCTGAAATAAATGCCACGTAAAGGAGGGACTTTTCTCAATCTGTAATGCAGGTCGATACCACTGAAGTTTGAAATCAGAGGAGTCAGAAAGTTCTCTCTAAACTGGGTCTGACTTGCATATGGAAAAGAGAGATTATGGGTAGGCTGGTGACTGTCTGACAGAACTCCTCAGAATGAAGAGATGAGTATTTTAAATTATTTTTCATCTTTGTTTGGTACTAAGTAAAAACAAAGTTTTGTTGTGTTTCCTGCTTTAGACAGTTAAGGTTGGATAATATAGAACATTTCACCAGTGGTCAGCAAACTTTTACAGAAGTTGAAATCAATAAACAAAAGCCATCAAAGATGTTCAAAGATAAGAGAGTGACTATTCAGACCTTCATATAGCTCAGTCATTTTGTTCAACCAATTATTGGTGATCTCAGTTGGACTGTGAATACAGATCTCTTGGCTAAACTGAATTATTGCAATAGTACACAAGACAGTTAAGGGCCAGAGCAGCAAGCAAAGGTGTTTGCCAAGGGCATGCCTGCAGAAGGGTCTTGGGATATTTGTCTTGGGTAATTGGGGTGTGGAGATTTTAGACACAACCATTTCCCTTACCAGCCCCCTCTCAACCTTTCATGGTATTCTTGTCTAAGTGTATGTCTTCACTGCAATAAAACACCCACGGCTGGCCTGTGTCAGCTAACTCGGGCTCGTGGGGCTTGTAAAATTGCACGGTAGATGTCTGGACTTGGACGGGACCGGCGCGGGATGGTCCCAAAGCCCACACTCTAGTTGGAGCCCAGACATCTACACTGCAGTTTTATAGCCCCACAGCCTGAGCCCTGTGAACCTGAGTCAGCTGACCCTGGCCAACTGCGGGTGTTTTATTGCAAAGTAGACATACCCACAAACACTGCACTATAGCTGGGAGGATATTGAAATGCCAGAGCTGGTTTCACTCTCAGGATCTCAGGCTAAGGGCTGCAGAAGGGTGAGGCAGTTTGTTGCCCTGAACTCCAAGAATGACTCCAGCAATATTCCCAGTACTTTGTGTACAGAAAGGTTATCATGTTGTACTGTAAAGTTGATTGTGTTGTTGTGACAGGATGATATACACCCTAGTGGGGATAATAATACTTCTTTTCGCCCAGCCTTTGTCTCTCTTATCTATTTAGACTGTAAGCTCTTCAAGGCCTAGGCTTTCTCTTACTATGTGTCTGTACAGGACTAGCACAATGGGACCCTGATCTCTGAGGCTTCTAGGCATTCCTGGAATACAAATGCTACAAATACAGAATTTGGTTTAAAAAAACAATTCTGACAGACAATACCCATGTTTAATTTTAAGCATAAGTGTTTTGATCATTTTTTTATAATTGCAAGAAATTGGGGAGGGAAGGGGGTCTCAGACAACAATTATTTAATGACACTACAACATACTGAGATTCAAAAAGTTAAAGCTTTATAACCATTAAAACACCATTAGTCAATATCACATGTCAAAATATACAAAGCAAACATCCTTAAATTAAACTCAAGTAAGTTCTCTAGCAGCACTTTTCTTACTTTGCCTATCTGTAAAGTTCAATTATCATCAATGGAAATATTTTTTCTGTTGGTTTTTGTGTGTATGGTGAAATTGACATTTATTGATAGAAATGTAACCTTTCTAAGCCTATTCATAATAGATAATAGTGGCACACAAAGCCCCTAAATTTTGTAACCCCTCTGAATTTCGAAAACTTCCTGTTTTCTTTTAAATGGAAAATACACAGAAACCAAAGATCATTCTTTCTTCTTGTTGTCTCCCAAACCAAAAGGTAAGAAATAATTTTCACACATTTTAAATGGATGACTAAAGGCACTTTCATCAGGCAGGCAAAGACCACTGTACACGTCTGTCCCCATTTCCTGAACTAAACTGTTGTATAGAGGCCAAAATCCATCCCAAAGATGGCTTGTGTTTCAATGAAGGATGAACAGAGTCATTCTATGACAGCAACTTCTGCCTGCCCTCCCCCTGCTGCCCACAGGTTTTCTAGCAGGCACCTGTGTGCAGTAGCTAACAAACGTAGCTATATGGCAGCGGGAGTTCAAGATGGAAGCTATCTGGCTACCCTACAGAATCTACTCCATAGCTACTCTATGACAACTACATGATGGCTACTGTCACAGAATGTTTAGGCACTACACTTTCCATTGAAAAATAATGATTTTGGCTCCTTCGCTGTCCTCCTATGACAGAGGTGCAGCATAACAGTGCAATCTTAGATATATTCTTAAAGGAAATAGTAACCTTTTCGCTCCACTCAGCAATCTGAAAGTTCAGACATGTGAACACCCACCATAGCATGAGGAAACTGTGAAATGTATTTGCAAGTTGTGAGCCCAGAGATCAAAGGGATCGCAATCTGACCTCTAAAACTGCACCCACCGCCTTCATATCTAAGAGTCGGAGTGTGCAATTCTCTGATGCATGTGCAAGCATTGATGCATGCAAATCCACATTGGTGCATCTGCAAAAGTAGAGACATAAAAAGTGGTGGGTGCAACTGTAAGGCCATTTTTTACATGTGGGTCTCTGTGTTCTAGGCAGAGTGTAGCGCATTTCCAAGCCTGCTTATGAAAGGTATATTGCTAAAAGTTGCTTTATTGTTTGTTACAGAGGCAGGGCAGCATGGTAGGCTAACACACGACACTTAGAACCAATTGCCATCCCATTTAATATTGGATAAACGATCCAAAGAAAGAGTCAGTCTTTAATGAGATCCTGATCTTGCATGAACTCAGCAGTCTGCTTGTGCCACCAAAATCACATGAAAAGATTTTGGTCAAATAGCATTAACATTCTTTTTATGATTTCTATCAAGCTAAAAAACGTCTTACACTCTCTTACACTGAGTTCACAGATGGCCAATACAAATTGTTCCTTTTTAAGTATGATGGGATCAGAAATGTCAATTAAATACTATTAAAAACCCTGTATTTTCCAATACATTTTATAGTCAAGATTTACAATGATTGCTGGATGTCAGGAAGAAGCTTTTGTAAAGGGACAAAAAAAATGTTTTGACTGTTGACCTGATAGAGATATTAATGGTGACAAACAAAATATTCTGCAGGAGCCTAACACATGGAAGGCTCACATCTTTGTGCTCATGTAGAGAATGTTACTTCTTAAGAACAATGGTTTATTTTTTGTACTCCTACACTGATGTTCTTAAGTTCATTACCAAGGAACAGAGTTCAATAAAGCACTGCAAATATCAGAAGAATTAACTTACCACCGAGTCAAGGAACCTAATGCAACACTCAAGCTCCGGTCGAGTTTCACAGAACTGCCGAAAGAGAAGCCTTCCAATTGGCTGCTTGTCGCATAAACTGTAATAATCTCTCTCTAGAGGCAATAAAAGAAGAAGAAAAAAGAGTGTAAAAACCTGAAGATCCTCTTTGTGTGTTTTGGGCTGGCTACAATTTTAAAACACCATAAGTGAGCGCAGTAAAAACACTCCAAAACCATAACCCCCCCCCTTGGAAAATCAAAGCCAAAAACACTGGACCCATGAGGCTACCACGCGCTCAATTCTACAGTCCTAGTGCAGGCAAAAAGTCCCGCTCATGCCATTCAGCCATGGTAAGATGGCAATTTTTGACCTTTCATTTCTGGAGTTATATAGAATCAGAGAAGGCAATTCCCATATTGGTTACCATTGTGGGGGAAAGGGGGGGGACCTTAAGGGGAGAGTTACCAGAAGCCTTGAAAAAGTGAATTTGCACATGTAGTTGCATCAAAGTTTGGAATTAACGGGAACTTGCAATAGCCCTATTCCCAGTTCCCCTTATATTTAAATGCAGGTCAGAATGCTGCAAAACTCTGGGAAAATTTGGGTTTGACTTTGTGGCTAAAGCCCTATTCTAATATACATGTATTCATAGGTATATATATATTTTAAGTATTTAAAAATCTGTGCTATCTGTTCATTGGGCAGTAACCAGGGCTTTGCACATACAACATCTTACTGATGAGACTGAGTTTCACATGACGTCCTCCTTTAGAAGTTTATTTCCCCTACTGCTTTATGGTATTTTTAATTGTTGTTCCATCATTGTACAGCACTGAACAGCAATCTGACTACAGTGAAAAGCACTTTATGAATCAATATTTAAAAGGAAAACGAGGAAAAAGAAAAAGAGTACCACAAATGGACATGGCACAAGTATAAACCAGCTGGTATCAAATGTTAGCTTTGCAAGATCAGCATGAAACACTAGTCAGCGTGGAGCTGCTGCACACACGCAAGATATATTATTCCTTTAAAAATACACAAAATGTCAAACAACATATTGTGTTGCCTTAAGCGTTCTTCTCACCGCCTTCCTCGTTGCCATATGGCAGTCACTGTTATTATGGAAACAACTCACTTCCCAACACATAACATAACACTGCAAACAGACATACAAAACCCACACAAGTTGTCAGCGCCTGGGTTACTTCTATCTTACAGCTGTAGTAGCTTGTGCATTTATTCCCCCCCTACCCCACTCCACTAGTAGGAAAAACATAGGTGAACACAGGAATTTGTGAATGAACCGTCCATTTACTGGAGATTCTACATACCCAGAATAGGCTTTTTACCCACTAGAGCTGATTTCGTCATGCCTATCCCCTGCAATAACTGGATGTAAGCCCCAGGTGAAATATATATCAGATATTGGACGTGCTCACGTATGGCCAGATTACAGCCAGCTTTTGCATGGGTTGTAAAGGCAGGGGGAGCCAAACACCTCCACCTCCTATGTAGGGGCTGGTCACAAGTCTAGTGATTGAATACACCCATGCGTATGGATTGCAGGTTTTCTTGCATCATCCTCTGATGCATAAGTGCCAACTCCGTGGGTGCTCTGGGGCTCAAGCACCCACTGAAAAATAAGAGGGGGTGCGCAGCACCCGCAGGGCTAGATTAATCTTTTGTGGGCCCCGGCGCCCAGACAGAGGTCCTACCCCCTACTCTGCGCCAAGGCCCAGCCCATGCACAGCGTCTTCCCCCAGAGGGGATGGGACATAAAGGGGCACCCACCGGCAAAAACAAAAGTCAGTGCCTGTGATCTGATGCATCGGGTACCGATGGCTGTCAGAGACAGGATACTGGACAAGTTGGACCATAGTCATATATTTGCCAAGCACCCAAAAATGAATGGTGTATCGTTACTTTAATCATGGGCAGCACATGACTCCTCCATTTGGGGAGACTGAGCCTGCCTGGACCATGGCCCCACCGCAAGGCTTGCCCCTGCTTGGCCTCCTCCCCCCGAAGCCCCGCCCATTCTCCACCCCACCCGCCTCTTCTGCCTCTTTGCCCCCTTCCCTGAGGCCCCCCTTCAGCCCACCTGCCACCGAGCTGCTCACCACTCACGCATGCCTCTTCAGCGCCTCTCCGAGGCCCCCATGTGGGTGGTGTGGGAACAGGAAGAGCGGGAGCAAGGGTGGGGCTTCAGGCAGAAGAGGACGAGAAGGAACAGGGCCTCAGGGCATAGGGTGGGCGGGGCACAGCCGGGGTACCCTTTTGGCTGTGGTGGCATGCTCCAAAGGTGGCAGGCGAGCTGTTAGGGGAGGCTTAGCCTCTCCTGGCCTCTTATATGGGCCGCCCATGATTTTAATCTTAACTTGTCCTCTGGACCACCCACTAACAACAACGTGTGGTGCTGGTGTGTTTGTATTGGCTGGGGCACACAGCATGGAACAGCATGACACAGGCATGTACTGAGAGAAAATCAGAATGCTGAATTTTAGGCCTCACTGCCTTGATGGTGGCCCTCCATGTGCGGGGCTATGGCAATCAAAGGAGAACTTGCTCAATTCAAGTGAGGACATAAAAATGAGAATCCTTTGACCTGGAAAACAATGATGCTGAAAGAGACCTGGCACAAGCCTTTATCCATCAAAGTATTTAAGTAAGTGCTTAACTTTAAATATGTGCATGCACTTTAAGCATGTGCTTAAATTCTTTCCTGGACCAGGATCAGAGTGGGCAGCAAATTCAATAGGAGTTTGCAATGCAATAGGGGAGCAGAAACAAAAACCTGTGGCAAACTAAATGTGCTGAGCCTCAGATGAGGTTTAGCAGGAGTTCTGAAGGTGGAATTACATAGAAACCTTTTGCTGCATTTGCTGTCTCAGTTCAAAGTTAACAGTAATTGTGTGCTTATTGTGCATAATGTACATTCAGAAAAAAACATCCTGAGTCTCAGTGTCACTCAGCTTTTCCCCAAATTAGGAATCAAGCCCTTCTAAAAGTCCCAAACTCTACTATGATCGCTCTGAAGCCAAGACAATATAAAGTGAACAGTGCAAAAGGTAATATTTCTTAATATAGATTAAATGTATGAATCGATGTAGTAAAATGCAGCATAAATATACACATATATGTAAACATTTGATGCATTTAAAATGTTTCTTCTTGTATAGCCTTATTTTATGTATAGCATAATTATTTATAGTACAAAAATATATGCAGCTTTTTAAAATTTGTCAAAATAGGATAGTATGGGAAACATTCACCCTAGAATGCTTATAATATCATTAAAGATTAGTATATGAGCATATATATTGTCTGAATAATCTATAAGACTCATGCATTCAACCGACTGACATTATGGCATACAAGATACAGGAAACATTATGAAGCAAGTTAAACATTATTTTTATGGATAATATAAAATGGAGACTAAATGAACACACACCTGCTACTATAGCTATATAACACGGCCAGCACATGAACATGTTAACCCATTCTTAAGGAGGAAAAAGGAAATACCAGTAATAACACCAGCTAAACACAAGACTCAAGTCCAATTCCCTGGAGCCATCCTGTCTTTGATAAAAAAAACAAAAAACGGGATATATTTGATAGGTAACATAAATAAATGGCGTAAGTGTTTTCATTCCTTTTAGGTGACATAATTTTTTCCTCCAAGGCCCTGATCTTGCAATTGACCCTGCTCAGTCAGTTGCAGGATTCTGGCCTGCATTAATATTTTGGGATATATGGACCATGTTCTGGACTAAGAAGTAAAACCATATGTCTCAGCTCAAGCCCAGAAGGTGACAATTTTGTTATATTAAACAAGTGCAAAACCAAAGCAAGCTGTGCTGTAATTGCATGTCCAGATTCTTGACAACAGACTAGCAGCCAGGAAGGGAAAAGACAGATCTCTGGGCAGATCATATGATCAGAAGCCTATCTTGGACTGGGTTTAATTATTGTGTCATTTTCTGTATGGCTGCCAATAAAGATATCCATCCAGTTGCAAAAATTTAAAAACCAGAAAGAATGATTTCCTGAGGAAATGGAAGGAAATGTTAAACATTTGGAAGTGAAACCATATGTTTGTGATGACGCAGTGGAACGAAAACAATTCTGAGAGCAATATCTCTTGCAGACTGCCCTTCCCATTTTGGAAGACTTTTGCTTTAACACCTGCAAGGTCACACGCAGGCAGAATGGATCTTTTAAAAGGGAGGGGTGAAAACTATAGGAGGTCAGTTAGTTTTAACCTTTCAGTTTCTTTATTTAGAATTGGCAAATACAGTAGACCTGCTAGTGAACTGTTTATCATCCCAATTAAGCAACTGTCCAGATTAATAGAGGAGGCTATTAAAAAGACGGCAGAAAAGATTTAAATAAAATATAGTAACAAATACTAGGTGATAAATTGTATTCACTCTAGGTTTATTGTATATTTATTTGGTAATTTCTATATTAAGAGATCAGAGTTCCACACTTTAAACACCACTCGAACATTTGGAATTGGCCAACAGCATTTTCATTGAGCGAATTATGTCTTGAAAAGCAGAGGTCACTACTGTTCACTGTCATAAGGCTAAGCTTGTTCCCTGGGAGATGTTTCTATAAAATAGGTCTTTTGATTAAGGCCCCAATTCAGCAAAGTACTTAACAGTATATTCCTAAATTTAAGCACGTGAATAGTCCCATTTCCAAAATTTCATTTTGGTCAACCTTTTTGTAAATAAATAAATAAAATTTATTTATTTTGGCTAGATCGTCGGGCTCAACGGGTAGTGATCAATGGCTCCATGTCTAGTTGGCAGCCAGTTTCAAG